CCCTGGATGCCCCTGTTACTTTCGTTCTCTCTCTCTCTCTCTCCTTTCATCGGTGTGCCAGGGATCTTGTTCTCAGCTCTCCCCACAACCTGCTCACCCACCAAACCCCAGGCCTCCGCCCCCTGCCCTGATTTGTGTGCAGAAGAAGTGTCTGTTATTAGAGAGAGCAGGTAGGACCCTGTCTTCTCATTACCAGCCGCTCAAGGGGGATTATTATGTCTGCTGTGGCTGGCAGAGAGAGAGCGTGAGAGATTCCACCGCCTGACGGGCTGTTTGATGTTCTGCAGCTGCCCTGATCCAATAACGTCCCCTTTTCATGGCGCAGTTAACACTAACAAGTCTGCGCCATCTGAGAGTGTTTAAAGACCGTTGAGGCTCAAGTGAATCTGTGCCGACTTTAGCCAGCAATAAATCAGCACATGTGCTCAGGCTTAGTGCCTCTCTACCCTCAGAATCCCTCCATGGTGCAGTGGGCTACATATGTGCTCTTGATAAATAAGCCATTGCAGGTTCAGGTTTAAGTATGACCAGCATCATGTCTCTGTCTCCCTGTCTCATTTTACTAATCTGATAATGTAAAGCTTGATTTTCATGTAAACAATAAGGAGAAGTATATGTGTGTGTTTGTGTTTACATCGATATTTACTAGAAATATAATTACATTTCCATGAAATATTTTCTGTACATTTTTATTCACACATATAGATGAATTTGTACTAGAAATAGTATTTATAATTTTCATTAAATGTTTTCTTTATTTTTTTACTCGTGGATGGGTGGATAGATATTTACTAGAAATAATATTTATAATTTTGATTAAATGTTTTCTTTACATTTTTATTCATGGCTCTATGGGTGGATGGATAGATATTTACTAGAAATAATATTTATAATTATGTTTTCTTTTTCTTTATTTTTTAATTCACACATGATATGATATATATATTTGATCTCGGCCAAATATTGTCCTATCCTAACAAACCATACATCAATGGAAAGCTTATTTATTCAGCTTTCAGATGATGTATAAATCTCAATTTCGAAAAATTGACCCTTATGACTGGTTTTGTGGTCCAGGGTCACATATATGGTGTATTATGTGATTATAAACATTTATTATTAAAGATGGTGCACTACAGATAATGCTTTTAAACCATTTTAAAATCACAACATAAGCATTACTGTCTTGAAGCGTCATGTTTAATGCGAAAACCCATTAAATACACAACTGAAACGATTGAGAACACACAGCGTGCTGCAAAAAGGTTTTATGTGTATGTAACAAAGTTCGTAGTCACGGGAAGAAGGAGGCGGGAACCAGCGAACATTTAAACACTTTAATAAAATAAACAAGCACAAAATGAAAGTAATGCGGCAGCCCCTCGCGGACGACTGGCGCACACAAAACACAAAATAAAATCCAGGCCTGGTCCTCTGTCGTCACTCCTCCTTTTATCCTTCCGGAGCTCCTCCGTGGGACTCGTGACCGGTGAGTGGCGCAGGTGTCACGCATTAGCATTTACTCCACTGGCCTCGCTCGGTTCCCACGGCTCTCGGCCCCGCCCCTTTCGTCACAGTGTACTAATCAATTATCAGCCCATTACCTTTAAGAGGTAGATAGAGATGACAAATTGCACAAGCATGGACAGATTAATCTTAAGTACCTTTAAAGCATCCCACCTTTGGCTTGAAATTAACGTCCTCTTGAGGCCTTAAAAGGGAAAATAAGAGGACCTTTATCGCTGAACTCTTTTAACACCCCTCGCCCCCTCGCTCTTTTCGCGGACCCTTCATTCCTACCTACATATCTTCCCCCCATCTGTGTGTGGCCAAGGGCAGAGGACGCCATTTGAAAGCAGTTGCAGATTTATTAGCGGCTCTGCGTCAGCGAAGTGCTGTAATTTCACTCGCTCGCCTCTCATTTGAGACCTGCACTTTTAAGAAAACGTGTAAGTCCTTGACGCAAAACCATGATCATATATATATATATATATATATATACAATATATATATATACGTAAATATATATATATACGTAAACGCCCCGGCTTCCTATTCTTTGTTTTTTTTCCCTCATCTGCCTCTTCTCTTTTCGTCTTCTGACGATGTTTACCCTGAGGCGAATTAGTTTCTCCATCACTCAGCCAGAGCACTGGCATATAAATTTTTCTTTTTTTTTATCTCCTCGCCACACTTCCGCACTGTGAAACGGGGCGGGTAATAAAACTCCGTGAGCGAGTTGTCAGCGGTAAAAGATTATGTGTTTTGCCCTCCCTGCATCTGAAAAAAGAAGAGAGGACGGGATGGGGAGGGAGCAGAGGGGTGTTTACAGGCTTGAGTGGGCGCTCGTGAGGCCGGGACAGAGGCTGATTGCTGTAGAGTGGTCTGTCAGCCCATGATTTGTCATGTACTTCATCATCTCTGTCAGATGTATAAATCTCAATTTCGAAAAATTGACCCTTATGACTGGTTTTGTGGTCCAGGGTCACATATATGGTGTATTATGTGATTATAAACATTTATTATTAAAGATGGTGCACTACAGATAATGCTTTTAAACCATTTTAAAATCACAACATAAGCATTACTGTCTTGAAGCGTCATGTTTAATGCGAAAACCCATTAAATACACAACTGAAACGATTGAGAACACACAGCGTGCTGCAAAAAGGTTTTATGTGTATGTAACAAAGTTCGTAGTCACGGGAAGAAGGAGGCGGGAACCAGCGAACATTTAAACACTTTAATAAAATAAACAAGCACAAAATGAAAGTAATGCGGCAGCCCCTCGCGGACGACTGGCGCACACAAAACACAAAATAAAATCCAGGCCTGGTCCTCTGTCGTCACTCCTCCTTTTATCCTTCCGGAGCTCCTCCGTGGGACTCGTGACCGGTGAGTGGCGCAGGTGTCACGCATTAGCATTTACTCCACTGGCCTCGCTCGGTTCCCACGGCTCTCGGCCCCGCCCCTTTCGTCACAGTGTACTAATCAATTATCAGCCCATTACCTTTAAGAGGTAGATAGAGATGACAAATTGCACAAGCATGGACAGATTAATCTTAAGTACCTTTAAAGCATCCCACCTTTGGCTTGAAATTAACGTCCTCTTGAGGCCTTAAAAGGGAAAATAAGAGGACCTTTATCGCTGAACTCTTTTAACACCCCTCGCCCCCTCGCTCTTTTCGCGGACCCTTCATTCCTACCTACATATCTTCCCCCCATCTGTGTGTGGCCAAGGGCAGAGGACGCCATTTGAAAGCAGTTGCAGATTTATTAGCGGCTCTGCGTCAGCGAAGTGCTGTAATTTCACTCGCTCGCCTCTCATTTGAGACCTGCACTTTTAAGAAAACGTGTAAGTCCTTGACGCAAAACCATGATCATATATATATATATATATATATATACAATATATATATATACGTAAATATATATATATACGTAAACGCCCCGGCTTCCTATTCTTTGTTTTTTTTCCCTCATCTGCCTCTTCTCTTTTCGTCTTCTGACGATGTTTACCCTGAGGCGAATTAGTTTCTCCATCACTCAGCCAGAGCACTGGCATATAAATTTTTCTTTTTTTTTATCTCCTCGCCACACTTCCGCACTGTGAAACGGGGCGGGTAATAAAACTCCGTGAGCGAGTTGTCAGCGGTAAAAGATTATGTGTTTTGCCCTCCCTGCATCTGAAAAAAGAAGAGAGGACGGGATGGGGAGGGAGCAGAGGGGTGTTTACAGGCTTGAGTGGGCGCTCGTGAGGCCGGGACAGAGGCTGATTGCTGTAGAGTGGTCTGTCAGCCCATGATTTGTCATGTACTTCATCATCTCTGTCACTCCGCCGAGCGTTGTCATAGCTAACATATCGCCCCGCATTTGTACCGGCCCGTGTAGGAAATTTGTATTTACTTTGGGGTTGGAGGCGCGGGGAGGGAGGAAGCGGCGGTGGGGGGGGAGTGGTGTAATTTGTTCCTCGTGGATAATGTGACCCTGAGTGGAGCCGGATCATGGGTTAGTTGAAGTGATATTTTCCGGTAATGGTAGTTGTACATCACGGCTGTCAGACAGAATTAGGAGGCATGCACGAAACAGCTCCATTTCAGCCACTGCAAGCATCTGGGATTATTTTCCATAACCAAGTATGACATGACCGCTCTGCGGAGTGCATTAAATTTTTACTGGCTTTTCTTCCTTTGCTCCGTCTTTCCCTCCCTCTCTTTGCTCCCGAGCCAGGTCAGCGGCGTTTCCCCTGAGCCGACTGGGGGGCTCCGGGCTGGCAAGGTGATTGATGCTCGGGAGACTCGGCGTCCCTCACAAAGCCCGGCACCCCGCTGCAGCGCTGACACGTCTCTGTCAAAGCCTCTTGGCCACAGTCCCGGATTTTATGTTATTTCTAATGACGTGTTTATTTCTTTAATTTCTTTCTTATGGTCGCCAGCTATTTTGATCCTTGTTATTTCCAGGCAAGGTCAGCGTTGTAATTACCAGAGCTGTGGGAGACAGATCCTGTGTGTGTGTTAAAGGCTAATCACCGGGATCTTGGGGGCGGGTGGGCAGGCAGTGCTCATTATAGGGGCCTATCGCCAAAATTATGTGACCACCTTACAGGCCCTCTGACTTGCCAGACAGCAGAAGGATTTAGAGGGAGACAGAGCAGGGTGATGCATGCTGCTTGATGGATGGGCAGGTCAGCAGTTACACACCACCCCTCACCCCTGGCCGTCCCACTCATTCCTGTCTGCTGCAGAAGTGCATTATGGGAGAAAGAGTGTAGCCCACTTATTGTGCTGGCGGAGCACTGCTGTTTGATTGACACCAATAAAATAGACCCTTTTTGTGTTTGAGAACAGCATCATATGGGGACTGAAGGCTAGTGATGTACTAATGGAATTTATTGCAGCAAATATATATATATATATTTAAAATGTTGTGTGAAAAATTAAAAATACACACAAAGATGTATGTATGTATGTATTTATTTATGTATTCATTCATTCATTCATTCAAACATTTCACTGATAGACTGATTATAATAAGCCTGATTAGGCCAGTAATAGATGCAGAAAATATTAAGGCTTTTTATTTTTATTTTATTTATTTCATTTTTTTTGTTTGTTAATTATTATTATTATCATCGATTATTATCATAAATGTTTTCTATATATATTATATTTAACTAAAACTAAAACCATAAAAAAAAATTGTTACTTGAAATAAAATAAACATTTACTATACACTTATTATAAGCAATATAAACACAATATAAACTTAATCTTAAAATATGAAAGTTATTTTATTTAAGAATTTTAATTTAATTTAACTTGATGTACTAAAACTGAAATAAAAACTATATAGACAAATTACTAAAAGAACAACAACTAATAAAAATCGCAAACATAAAAATTTTGCTGCTACTAACTAAAATTGAAAAGGAAAATATATTAATGAAATTATACATATTATATTAATAAAATATATTAATAAAAGCTGTAACAGGATCTCAGTGCTACTAAGATAACACTGCTATTAACTTTCTAGACTAGAATTCTTTTTTTTTTTAGCGTGTAAAATATTATAAATGTATAGTTTTTGTTCATCATGTCTTTATAGTATTAATATTACCGTCTCTGAAAAATTCTATATCATTCCGCTAAAATATTTGGTATATGCTACATAGCAATTAGCATTATATCACCAATCATTATTCTTGATGGAAAACTCAACATTTTGTTTGTATGTTTGCGTGAGTGTGTGTGTGTGCGCGCGCATGTTTTCTAGTGGATATGGTGACTTGCAGCTATTGTTTGTGCTGAGCATAAGCAGAGAAGCATCAGAGTGCCTCAAGGCAGTCAGTAATGACCCCCACCAACCCTTACTTGCAAGACAATCACACTCACACACACATTTACACACTCTTTTTCCTCCATCTCCCCCAGCAGGCAGAGCCTCATTCTGTCACGGTGTATGTCTAGGAGCTAACGCTCGCCTCTAACATGTGGACAACGATCAACTTGTTAGTGTGGATTCAGCATCTTCCTTTTCCCTTAGGCCATGATGAGCCTTGCTGATGCCTCCATATTCCTTACACACACACACACACGCATGAGAGCCCCTGATGGCTCTTTAGTCCCCGACAAGAGCTCAATGTGGTGGGAGGTTGACTGGTTGGGGTTTGTATCCAGGGCTGAGACTGATGCTGTGTGCTCTTGCCATTAGGGACACAACCTCGCAGCAGGGGCCCTACGAACGTAATACTCTTTTTTTTTTTTTTTTGGCCCTGCACGCTCCTGTCTGACATCTTATGGATCAGGATGGACAGTAGCCCTGCCACTACATCACATGTGGTGTGGTGCTTCCTTTATTCTTGTCTCATAAACTGACTTTTATACATCTAGTCAGGCACTTGGAGATGGAAAAAGGGTCAAGATCATTCTTGATTAGTTGTGTAGCAATCCACTCATTGAAAGGTATGAATTGCTTTTTTTCCTCTAAGCAACACTGTTATTTACAGAATAGCATGGAGAGGCTGTGTGCAATAAAATCACAGACAAAAGAAAGGTTAACCTGGAAAAATAGTTCAGTGACTTTTTGATTTGAAGTTTCAATGTTGACTTCCAACCCAAGGCATGAGATATTTTACACTTTCCATTAACAGACATTCCCGAGAGCCCTCGACATCAGCATTCATTTGTGCAAGCCAATAAAAGGTAATAATGCACCTGTGTGAATCAGACAAGGTTGCCAAGTCCTTGAAATCGAATTGAATTGATTCCCTTGTGAATTATGATAAAGTGGCAAAGTATTCACAAGTAAACACTGGCAAATTAATTATCAGGATATATAATATAATATAATAATTATATTATATTATATCATATTATATATTTTTTTTACATGTCATTTCCAACCGAGCTACTCACATAGTTTAGTGAAAGCTCTACGTGTGACTTTGTGTACCTTGTAAAATGCTCTAGAATATTCCATTCCATGTGAGACTGGTAGGTGTGTGACAGATCTCACCTGTGTCTAGCTATCTGCGCTCATGAATATAAATGATAGCAGGTTGACTGTTATCTAGTTTAAATAATGTATGCGGTCAGACCTTGGGTTCAGATCCACATCTCCTTACAGACTTTTTCCTCAAACATGGAATAGTAGAACATGTTATTTCACGTCCGTCTCTTTGTTCTTCACCCTTCGCTCTGTCTCTGCCTTAGCATCCTCTGCAGGCTGAGTGCTGTTCCCAGACAGTCCAAGGTTAAACTGAGGCCGTATGCATGATGGATGTCTGTCAAGGTCCTCACACCTACACACAGACCATTAGCCACTGCACAGTGACTAATATACAAACATATGCAATCACATTGTTCTTGTCCAGTGGCATTTTGGTTTTGTGATGCAAATGTCCATAAACTTGATTTTGAACAGCAGTTATTGGCTTCAGAAAAGAAAAGTTTATGGATTTTTTTTTCTGTTCTTTCTTTACTGAAACATTCATTGCATTGAGCCCATAAAACAACCTCTCTGTAGATTGATTTTTACTTAGCATATACACTTTATTTTTATATGCCTTAATTTTCATGTTTTTATTTTATTTTTTAAATAATGGTTTTATTTTTATTTTTTTATTCATTTTGTTATAAGTCCATATTTTCATATATTCTTTTATTATATTATTTTTCATCTATTTTTTCTGTTTATGTGTATTTTAGTATTTTTATTATTTTGTTTTTCTATTTATTTATATTTTTATTTTCACTATTTTATTTTTTCTATTATATTTTATTAATCATTTTTACTTCATATTTTTTATTAAGCTTTGAGTTAGTTAAGGTCTCCTAGAATATACTGTGTTACATGGTATGTGCTCAGTCACTAAAAAATGAAAGCAGCCAATAGATAACATAACACCTGTTTGTCAGTAAAAACTTGCACTTAATCATTTCATTTTATATGCCTTTATTTTCATGTTTACATTTTTTAAATAATAGCTTTATTTAATTTTGTTATATTTTTGTTATAGTTTTTTTATATTTTACTTTCTTCTATTTATGTCTTTTTTATTTTTATTGTTTTTTTTGTTTGTTTGTTTGTTTTTTTATTAGGCTTTGAGTTAGTTAATGTCTCCCAGAATATACTGTATGTTACACAGTATGTGCTCAAAAAAAACACTAAAAACTTAAATAAAAATTATATAGCATAATAAAACCTGTTTGTCAGTAGAGACTTGCAGTTAATTATTTCAGTGTTGTGCTCGCTGTAATGTTTCCCCAGAGCATTTTCTGCATCTATGGATTTCAACAAAATGACCCTAGTGACAAGTGTGCCGGCATATACGCTGAGCACACCGGACACGCAGACTCATGTGTAGACACATCCTTAGCCTCCCGTCCCAAGTGTTCACCAACACGCTTGTTACAGCAGAATAATTGGAGGGTGTTCAGCTTTGCAAAAACAGGTGAGGTCAGGAATATCGTGTCCGTCTGTGTCCTGATTAACCCCAAGAGGATGATCGACAAAAGAGCTCGGCCTGTTGTGCGTGAGGCTCCAATTATGTGTACAAGACATCGCCGGCCTGAGGGAAATTAAATGGAATCCCCCAGCTGAATGTGCAACCGAAGCCTCATGGGAGACATTTCGGCTCTTATTAAAACAGCCCCATTGTCTAGGCTTAAGGGTCCAGTGTGTCAAGCTGCAAATATGTAAATATAATGCCCATAAGGACTTTGCCTTACATCCGTGTGTGTGTGTGTGTGTGTGTGTATTCATCCACACCCTACGCCTTTTTTTGACAGCCAGTATTGACTGGGAATAATGAGGCTGCCCTGTTGATGTCCTGCATTGTGACTGAAGCTCATTTCTGTATGGATGTCTTGACAGCAGCATGATGCAATGGTTGTGGTATTCTCTCCACTGTCTTTCTGCTGTTATCGGGGCCTATTTAAACACCTCAGCAATGGTCCCTCAGGCTCAGAGAGCAGAAGAGCCATTGATTGTGTCCAGTCTCTCTAAGTGAGTGTGTAGGCAGCTCCGACTCAGGACAGATCACCGACACTAAGTGGCCGTCTGGAGAGAAATGAAGATTAATGTACCTCAGAGGTTGGTTAGTTTGTTGTTGTTGTTTTTTTAGTTAGAAACTAATGATTCACTCTAGGTTATTTAAACCCAATGTCACATTAGTGTACAGACACTTAATTTAAAGGCTAATGTAAATATAATGTCTAAAAAATAGGACTGATATGAGGTAGTTTAAGATTCCAGAGCTAATCAGACATTAAAATCAATTGGGACCCAAGGTAATACAGTTGTCATCATTTGCTCACACTTATGTCATTCCAAACCTGTATGAATTTCTTTTTCTGTGAAAAACAAAACAAAAACAAATCCATGGAATGAAAGTCAATAGGGTCCAGTGTTGTTTTGGACCCCATTGACTTTCATTGTACTGACAAAAAAAGAAAGGCAAAAAAGAAAGTCATACCGGTTTAGATCAACATAAGGGTGAATGAATTATGAATTTTCATTTTTGGGGGAGTGTTTTTTGCATAATCTGTTTGAAAAAAATAAAAAAAAACTCCTAAAACTAACAATATCCAGTGGCTTATCTGTTCAGTCAGTCAAACAGATTTGAGATTAAAAACAAAAGTAATGTTTTAAGACGTTTATGTAATGTTTCGGCTGGTTGTAAGGTGGGGCGAGGTGGGTGGATGTTGGTTGAAAATGTTCCTCCCATAAGCACTCAATCATATCAGTCCCATCTCTTTTAATTATTCAGTGCTGTGGTCCTTCAAGATGCCTTTTTCTTCCTTTCAGTCTGTCCTTCCTCTGCTTTTAAAAGCCTCAGGCAGTTTGTAAAGGTCTGTAAGCTGAAGAAGTTGTTCTCTGCACATCTTTATATTCTCGGCTCGCAAACGTAAATCATGAGAAAATATCCTCTCTGCACAAACGAGACCCCTACTGAGACATATGACAACAAACGCTTGAAGATAAAGGCGTTTACTGTGACAGAAGAAAG